CAGGGTTTCACCATGTCGATCAGGATGGTCTCGATCTCTTGACCTCGTGAGCCACTGGCCTCAGCCTCCCAAAGTGCTGGGATTACAGGCATTAAGTCACCTCACCCAGGCTGTTTTGTTTTTTGAGACAGGGTCTCGCTCTGTCACCAGAGTGCAGTGGTGTGATCTTGGCTCACAGAAGCCTCAACCTCCCAGGCTCAAGCCATTCTCCCACCTCAGCCTCCCAAGTAGCTAGAACCACAGGTGTGCACCACCATGCCTAGCTAATGTTTTTATTTTTTGTAGAGATGGGGTTTCCCTACGTTGTCCAGGCTGGTCTTGAACTCCTGCACTCAAGTGAGCCACCTGCCTTGGCCTCCCAAAGTGCTGGGATTCCAGGCATGATTATACCGCGCCTGGCCTGCAGATAGGTTTAATGCCCCTCATTTGATGTGCCGGGATAGGCCTGTCCTGGTTGCTGATCTCGTCCACACTGAGGGGAGTGACTGGCATCTAGGAGCCAGTGTCAAAATCCTTTTGGCCACAGTTGAGCAGCAAGGTGGTGTGAGGAGAGTGTTTTCAGGCACAGTCAGCCTGGAGTCTGTTATTAAGCTCTGTTTTGTCTGCTCTACCGTCTTCTGCTGTCATCTCAAAGTGAGGGGCCAGCATTCTTTTGTTGGGAGTTACACGTCTGCAAAAATTTGATAAGTAACAGGTATAAACTGGCTGGGTGCAGTGGCTCACCTGGAATCCCAGCACTTTGGGAGGCCAAGGCAAGTCAATCACCTGAGGTCAGGAGTTCGAGACCAGCCTGGCTAACATTGTGAAACCCCATCTCTACTAATATTACAAAAATTAGCTGGATCTCTACTAAAATTATAAACATTAGCTTGGTGTTGTGATTATAAAAATCCCAGCTACTTGGGAGGCTGAGGCAGGAGAATTGCTTGAACCTGGTAGGCAGAGGTTGCAGTGAGCTGAGACCATGCCATTGCACTCCAGCCTGGATAACAAGGGCAAAACTCCATCTCAAAATAAATAAATGAAAATTAAAAAAAAAAAGGGCTGGGAGTGGTGGCTCACACCTGTAAACCCAGCACTTTGCAAGGCCAAAGCGGACAGATCAGGAGGTCACGAGTTCGAGACCAGTCTGGCCAACCTGGTGAAACCCCATGTTTACTAAAAATACAAAAAAGGAAAACTGAAGATCAGGCTGGGGGTGTTGGAACATGCTTGTAATTCCAATATTTTGGGAGGCTGAGGTGGGAAGATCACTTGAGCTCAGTGTAAGGTCTGACCGCATCGTGGACGGCATGGCGACCCTCATGAGCTGCACGTAACCCTCGGGAGGGCCTTCTGGAATCAGAGAACCTGGAATGGCTGTAAGATCATGGAAAGAGGAAGAATGACCAACCTCTGTGGTGACTGCTTAACTCTAAGACATTCTCTGTTGTTTCTTATTGGGACCTCAATTGACAAGGCCATTGGACTTTGTAACTGACCTTGGCCAACCCCATGATTCCACCCCCTACAACCATCTCCCAGCTTGCAAAAAACTGCCCTAAACTATAACGTTCCATGGCCCATCCCAAACCTATAAAACCAACTCCTATCCCACCGCCCTTCACTTTGGCCTCAGCCTGCCTGCACCCAGGTGAATCAACAGCCTTGTTCTCACATAAAGCCTGTTTCGGGGGGGGGGGTCTCTTCATTCAGCAAACACGTTTTAACACTCAGGAGGTCAAGGCTTCAGTGAGCTGTGATTGTGCCACTGCACTCCAGCTTGGGCAACAGAGTGAGACCCTGTCTCAAAAAAAAAAAAAAAAAAAAGCCTGAAGATAAAGGGACAGTTTTTAAAGAGCCTGAAGACATGTCATATTGTCACATAACCTGCTGGGGAGCCAGGACACAAATGACTGATCACTGATTCTCACTGTCTACGATGAAAGTCAGCAGACAATGGGATGACATTTATACAACACTGTTTCCTTCAACACAAGGGAAAACAGTGACATTTTCAGTTATGTGAAAGATGAAACCACAGCGGATGGTCCTGAAAGGAAGGAGAAAGGCTGGAGGGAGATGATCCCAGAGAGACACTGAGACCTCCAGACAGAAATGAGGAGACTTCTTTTCTCCAGAAGGCTTTGGAATTGTCTTTTCTCCATGTGTGAAGCTAAATGGATAACTCTGGTAGACAGGCGGTGATGTGACATCTCTAGTGAGGTCTGAGAGGCTCACAGACCTCCCGGAGCGGCTTCTCCATGCTGGCTGCTTTGCTCTGGGCCCTGAATAAGTTGGAAGAATCCCGGAATAGGAGGATGTGTGTCCAGGTGACCCCACGGAGGGACAGAATGTGCAGAGGACAGCCTCACACAGACATCTGTAGCCATCGTGCCTTGGTGCAGGGACTGCCAAGGACAGCACAGGCAACTCATGGCATCAGGCCTGGACTCGTCATGGAGGGTCAGACAGGACAACGGCTGTCCTGGTGGACACCTGCAGAGGTCCCCTCTTCCCCAGCCCAGGTTCACTACGGAGACAGCTCAGCCCCACTTGCCTGGGTCTCCAAGGCTCTGAGAAGGGCCCCCCAGTGGTTCAGCATTGGCTAAGTTTGTCACACAGGAGGCCTGAATTGCAGCGTTCACAAGGCTGCCTTTTCCAGACCAGCTCCGCTTTCATCACACTCTTCCCGGGGACTGGTGGCACTGGAGGGACTACAAGCATTTCTGGCACACAACTAAGGAGGACTTGAGTGTAGATACATCCAGTCAGGGTTTATGAGGTATTTTTTTTCTTTCCAGCTGTTTTTTTTTTGAGACGGAGTTTTGCTCGTTACCCAGACTGGAGTACAATGGTGTGATCTCGGCTCACCGCAACCTCCGCCTCCTGGGTTCAGGCAATTCTCCTGCCTCAGCCTCCCGAGTAGCTGGGACTACAGGCGCGCGCCACCAAGGCTGAGACAGCTAATTTTTGTATTTTTAGTAGAGACGGGGTTTCACCTTGTTGACCAGGATGGTCTCGATCTCTTGACCTCGTGATCCACCCACTTCGGCCTCCCAAAGTGCTGGGATTATAGGTGTGAGCCACCGCGTCCGGCCTCCAGCTGTTTTTTATTTCAGGGAGAGGGGAAGGGGCTCAGTCTTTTTTGGCAGCGGCTTTCCTCATGGCAGCCAGGACCTTGCTCAGCTCCTCCTGCTTCCTTTGGCGCAGATGTGCGCCCCTACCCTTTTCTTGATGAACTTGAGGGTCTGTCCTTGGAGACCTTCAGGAACTCCATGGCGCCCCGCTCGTAGAAGCAAAGCCACACACCTCCTGGATCATTTCATGCATGAACTTGGTGTGTTTGCTGAGATGTGGCAGCTGTACCTGGGCTTGCTCACGTTCTTGGTCACCTTGTGGCCCCTGTTGAGGCCCATGGCCACAGGGTAGTCAAGAGCCATGGCTGCCGTGGCGGAAGGGGCATTACGGGGTATTTTCATGCAGTTCATTCGTATCCTTGCTGGCCGCCTGAGGCTCTGGAGTCCCTAGGGGAACCTAAGGACTGGTGCTGGAAGTCCGAGGGGAGCAGAAAAGCAAGGTTTGTATGCACAGAGCCAGCAGTGGGTCCACAAGTTTCTTCCAATCATCCAGTGTGAAAAACGGCAAGATTCAACTTCCCACTGCCTGCTTAGAATGAGTTGTCTCCTCTGAAGAGTGCATTTGGGAACACAGCACTTCCAATTTAATACAGTGTTCACTTACGTTTTCTTTTTGGATGGGGATTGCATTTATCAGGATTCTCGCTTGTGGAGCATAAACCTGTAGCAGTGCTCCAGGGAGCTCATCCATTCAAAGTCCAGAAGTCAGTACTGACAGTTTGGCTCAGCGGTGACTCACCCCTGTAATCCCAGGCTTTGGGAGGCAGAGGCGGGAGAATCAATCGAGCTCAGAAGTTCCAGCCAGAGCAGCACGGGGTCCCTATCTCTATCCCACAAACAAAACTTAGCCAGGTGTGAGGGCCGCACCTATAGTACCAGCCATTTGGGAGGCTGAGGCAGGAGGATCGCTTGAGTCCAGGTCATCGAGGCTGCGGTGAGCTGAGATAGCGCCGCTGTGCTCCAGCGTGGGCTACAGAGAGAGACCCCATCTATAAAAATAAAAACCTAAAAAAGTTCTATAATGTATATATAACTTGACTTTTCTCATTATACACGACTGTAAAATACGGTAATACAGAATTATTGTCGTGTAACAGATACACTTTATACGTTACAGAAAATATACATATGCAAAACCATGTTTGCAACCAATTTTTTTTTGTTTGTTTTTTTGAGACGGAGTTTCGCTCTTGTTACTCAGGCTGGAGTGCAATGGCGCGATCTCGGCTCACTGCAACCTCTGCCTCCTGGGTTCTGGCAATTCTCCTGCCTCAGCCTCCTGAGTAGCTGGGATTATAGGTACGCACCACCACGCCCAGCTAATTTTTTTTGTATTTTTAGTAGAGACGGGGTTTCACCATGTTGACCAGAATGGTCTCGATCTCTTGACCTCGTGATCCACCCGCCTCGGCCTCCCAAAGTGCTGGGATTACAGGCGTGAGCCACCGCGCCCAGCCCGCAACCAATATTTTCATAGTTTTGCATTCTTTTTCTTAAAAACAGCCGCACCCCGCACTGCATTTGGGGCCCCAAGGGCCTCGTCCTAGAGCACAGCTCCCAGCCGCGCAGGCGGCAAAACAAAGCGGGACGGCCCAGCGCGAGAGCGGAAACCCGCGCTCCCTCCGCCCGCACTGCCCGGCTGGGGTGTGAGGTGCGGGGTGCTGGGCCCGGGGAGGAGCGGGGCCTGAGGGTTGGGGCGTCGCGGCCATCCGCGTGTGCTGGGAGACCATGGGGCCCGGCTCAGGGGTCCTCGCGACCCGCGCCCCCCGTGGCCGCAGCCCTCGCCACGGACGACCCCCTCCCCACGTCGCCGGAGCGCGACCCTTAGACGAGCCGAGCGCCGATTGGCCCCGAGCACCGGAAGGCCCGCCCCCGCGAGCCGCCAGGCAGTGGCAGTCGGGGGCGGGGTCGCGGCTCAGCCGCCGGAAGCGGGGAGGTGCCGGGGGCGGGGGGGGAACGTCGCGTCACCGCGCCGGGTCTGTAGCAGCTACCGCTGAGCCGCCGGAGGGACGCCCGCCATGGCCGAGAGCGACTGGGACACGGTGACCGTGCTGCGCAAGAAGGGCCCTACGGCCGCCCAGGCCAAGTCCAAGCAGGTGCTTCGCTGATTGAGGAGCGGCCGGGCCGGGTGGGGCGGACGCTGGGCCAGAGCCGCGGACCGTGGAGCAGGGGCTCCGGGAAGGGCAGGCGGGGACCGGGACAGGGCGCGGGGGACGCGGACAAGGCTGGGGTGCCGGGGAAGGACGGGGTTCGAGGGGCGCGGCGTATCGCAGCGGTAGGAGGACTGGGTCAGGACCGGGGTAGGAAGGTGGGGGGCGGACCCAGGTGGGGATGTAGGCAGGGTGCGGGCGACAGGGGAAGGAGAAGGGCAGGGAACGGAACGGGGCAAGGGGCAGGCTATAGGGCTGGGACCAGTGCCAGGGTGGGGCGGGGAGGGGATAGGAGCAGGGACTGTTGGTGGGGACAGGTGTGAGGACAGATGCAGGAGGTGGGGCCGGGGGCGGGGACAAGGCTGGGGGCCTTGTGTGAGGGTAGGGGACAGAGGACCAGGGTGGTCACGGGAACAGGGAGATGGATGGAGGTGGGTACGGGGCTTGAGAGGACAGGGACTGGAGTGGGGACAGGCTTTAGGACAGGGATGGGGTCTGGGGCAACCAGCAGGAACAGTGGTGAGGGTGGGGAATTGGGGTTGGGTTAGGGCTGGGGGCCAGTGGACAGCAGTGGAGGGACTGGGACGGAGGCTGGTGAGCTGAGTAGGAGTTGGACAGGGGACGGTTCCTCCCTGAGAGCTTTCTCTCTGCCTGGGGCCTGCTTGGTTCTGCTGGTTAGATGCTGCCCCAGGTCTAGGGAGTCCAGGGACCCCATGAGCAGGTGGACCCTGCCTCCCCCAGTTGCACGGGTGGAAGATGGGTGTGCCCTGAGCAGTAGTATGGCAGGAGGTTACCGGGGTGGCTGTTGGAGCCGAGAATCAGCTGTGAGTCTGATGTAATAGCAGGGACAATTCAGTCCCTGCCTCTGCGTCATGCATACCCTCAGGCGGCCTAGGGCTGAAGCCTTTGAGGCCACTGGGCCCGGATGTGCTGGGCTCTGGTGACAGGTACTCATTGGTCTGCCCTGCCCAGGGCTGAAGCCTGTGAGGCCACTGGGCCAGGAGGTGCTGGGCTCTGGTGACAGGTACTCATTGGTCCGCCCGGCCCTTATTGGTTGCACAGTCAAAACCAAATTCACTTTCCTTTTCTTTTTTTTCTTTTTCTTTTTTTTGAGACAAAGTCTCACTCTGTCGCCTAGGCTGGAGTGCAGTGATGTGATCTTGGCTCACTGAAACCTCTGCTTCCGGATTCAAGTGATTCACCTGCCTCAGCCTCCCTAGTAGCTGGGATTACAGGCTTGTGCTACCATGGCCTGGCTAATTTTTATATTTTTAGTAGAGGTAGGGTTGCACTATGTTGGCCAGGCTGGTCTCGAACTCCTGACCTTGTGATCCACCCACCTCAGCCTCCCAAAGTGCTGGGATTACAGGTGTGAGCCACTGCGCCCGGCCCACTCTCCTTTTCTTTTAAAGGAAACTTTTTTTTTTTTTTTTTGAGACACAGTCTCACTCTGTGGCCCAGGCTGGAGTGCCATGTCAACATCTCCGCTCACTGCAGCCTCCGCCTCCCGGGTTCCAGCAATTCTCCTGCCTCAGTTTCCCAAGCAGCTGGAACTATAGGCTCACTCCACTATGCCTGGCTAAGTTTTGTATTTTTACTAGAGACGGGGTTTCACCATGTTGGCCAGGATGGTCTCAATTTCCTGACCTCATGATATGGCTGGGATTATAGGCGTGAGCCGCTGCGCCCAGCCTCTTTTAAAGGAAACTTAATGGCCAAAAGCTAGGAATCATGGAAACAGTTGTGTCTGTGGATGCCCCACAAGTCACGTCTCTGAAGTGTTAAAAATGCCAGAAATGCATGATATTAATATTCAGTGACTGCAGGTCCAATGGCATCACTGTTACTGCTGATGTTTCTGGGGAGCCTGCAGGCTTCCGTGTGATGCGTCATTTATGTGTTACTAGGAGCCAGAGTTGGGGAGGAAGGCAGCACCAGGCGGCATTTGGTGTTCTTTCCTGCTTTTGCAGTGCAGTCCAGCAGAAAGTAAATCTTTTTTTTTTTTTTGAGACGGAATTTCGCTCTTGTTACCCAGGCTGGAGTGCAATAGTGTCATCTCGGCTCACCGCAACCTCCGCCTCCTGGGTTCAGGCAATTCTCCTGCCTCAGCCTCCCGAGTAGCTGGGATTACTGGCACGCGCCACCATGCCCAGCTAATTTTTTGTATTTTTAGTAGAGACGGGGTTTCACCATGTTGACCAGGATGGTCTCGATCTCTTGACCTCGTGATCCACCCACCTTGGCATCCCAAAGTGCTGGGATTACAGGCGTGAGCCACCATGCCTGGCCGCAGAAAGTAAATCTATGCTTAATATGATTTATCAAAAAGAACCCACTAGTGCATACCAGCTATTCAGGAGGGAGGCTGAGGCCAGAGAATCACTTGAGCCCAGGAGTTCCAGACCAGCCTGGGCAACACAGCATGACCATGACTCTTAAAAAAAAAAAGCCCTTAGGCCGGGCACGGTGGCTCACACCTGTAATCCCAGCACTTTGGGAGGCTGAGGGAGGCGGATCACAAGGTCAAGAGATCGAGACCATCCTGGCCAACATGGTGAAACCCCGTCTCTACTAAAAATACAAAATTTACCTGGGCATGGTGGCACGTGCCTGTAGTCCCAGCTATTCGGGAGGCTGAGGCAGGAGAACTGCTTGAACCTGGGAGGTGGAGGTTGCTGTGAGCTGAGATGGAGCATTCCAGCCTGGTGATGAAGCGAGACTCTGTCTCAAAAAAAAAAAAAAAAAAAAAAAAGCCCTTAGTGTTTGTTTCTCAACAGCAAAGGAAGTGATGTTCTCTTAGTAGCAGTGTATTGTGTTTCCTGGATGTTTGATTTTAGAGGCTTTTGTATAATGAGTTTGGGGTTTTGTTATACTTAGAGAGTGCCTCACCCTGTCAGCCAGGCTGGAGTGCAGTGGCATTATAGTCTGCCACAGCCTCAGACTCCTGGGCTCATGTGACCCTCCTGCCATAGCCTGCCTGTCAGCTGGGACCACAGGCTTGCACCACGATGCCTGGCAATGTTTTTTAATTTTTTTGTGGAGGCAGGATCTTGCTGTGTTGTCCAGGCTTGGTCTTGAACTCGTGGCCTCAGGTGATCCTCCTATTTCGGTTTACCAAAGTGGTGGGATTATAGGCGTGAGCCACAGTGCCTAGTTGAGCTTGGGTAATTGAACGAAGCACTGTGTATCAGTCCTTGGGCACCACTAGTCCTCAGCAGTGTGCTAACTGGCTGAAAGCTGGCCTGAATTGGCGTGTGCTGGACACTGCCAAAGTTCATTTTGACCAGCTAATGTTTTCTCTTTTTCTAGGCTATCTTAGCAGCACAGAGACGAGGAGAGGATGTAGAAACTTCCAAGAAATGTAGGTGCTTGTGTTTCCACCTTCACAATGAGGCTGTGCTGTGGGGTCCGTGTGCTGGTGTGTGGTGTGGGCGGTGCCCCCAGGGACGCTGTCAGCTGCACATCTGCCCACACCGATGCTGGCCGAGCCCTGGGAGGCAGTGATCTTCCGAGAGCAGCTCTGCTTGGCACGAGTGCAGCTGCCTCTCCCCACAACTGAGAGAAAACCCTAAGTTCATGCCCTGAGGTCTGTGAACGTTAGACAGCCTGGTTTCCCATGTCCCCTTGGGCTCAGGCAGCCTCTGGAGTTTGGTTACCACTCTGAAATTGTTTCTTTTTCAGGCTAATTCCAAACCCTCTTCTCTGCTCTTGCCTCACACTGACTCCAGGGGCTGCTGGCCAGAACAAACAGCATTCTATCACCAAGAACACAGCCAAGCTGGACCGGGAGACGGAGGAGCTGCACCATGACAGGGTGACCCTGGAGGTGGGCAAAGTGATCCAGCAGGGTCGGCAGAGCAAGGGACTCACGCAGAAGGACCTGGCCACGGTGAGGCTGCACTGGCTCTCGCTCCTCCTGGGGCTGTTGGCTCGGGGAGGGGGTGGCCCCCGCTCAGATAGCACATGGAGGGCAGACTCCACGCACCTGGTGCTCCTGCAGGGAGTGCCTTGGGAAGCCAGGTCTGCCGGGCTCTCATGGTCTCTCACGGAGAACCGGCTGCATGTGGCTGTGCGCCCCAGGGGCCCCAGAAGTGGTTGTTCTCGGGTGACGCTTCTGGAAGGTGACAACCTGTGGGGGCACGTCCTAGTGGAGCGGGTGTGTATAAAGCATATCTTCTCTTTAGAAAATCAATGAGAAGCCACAGGTGATTGCGGACTATGAGAGTGGACGGGCCATCCCCAATAACCAGGTGCTGGGCAAAATCGAGCGGGCCATCGGTGAGTGTCCCTCCACTCTTCGGCCTGGGCAGGGAGGCCACCCACCCCCAGCAGGGGTTGAAGGCAGCCCGGGGTCCCCGTTGTCTGGATTCTGGAGCTTTGCTTCTCCAGGCAGCACAGACTAAGGAATGGTGGAAGCTCCGCAGGCCTCAGAAACTCCCCAAGAGTGAGTGGCGTCCCGGCCGGTCCCTTCAGCCTGTACTGCTGGCGCGGCTCTCTGAGCCTGGCATGTGGGGCCGGAAGCCAGTTCTGCAGAGGACCCTGGCTCTGGTTCTTCCGGAGAAGGGTCTTGTGTTCTGCTGTCAAGGATGATCAGACTCATCCTCTTAAAGATTAGATGAGAGACCCAGGAGTGCTCCTGTGCTGAGAGCCCTGTGAGGAACAGGAATGGTGTGGTCCTCCTTCCCAGCAGGTGTTGAAGAGGGGTGGCATGGGGACAGGAGGGAGCTGGCGCTGCAGTGGCCAGTGGTTGTGGCTCATTTCAGGCCTCAAGCTTCGGGGGAAGGACATTGGAAAGCCCATCGAGAAGGGGCCTAGGGCGAAATGAACACAAAGCCTCGAAATCAGTGTGCTCCAGCTGATCTCGTCTGGGTTCCCCTTGGCTGCCAGCACCGCCGTGGGGCTCCTCACGGGCCGAGCGGAACAAGGGGTCCAGCTTGTGGAGGCCTCCCCAGCCCATTCCTGCTGTCAAACAAACAAAACCTTGCAAAGCGTTGGCTTCTGCTGACTGTTTTTCTACCTGCGTCACGTTCCTCAGATCAGGGTATAGAACTCGGTCTTCCTGTCTGTCCTATAGGTGTCTGCCTAGTAGCAGTTGTGGCTCAGAGGCCTCGGGGAGCTCTGAGCACCTTTCCACGTGGGGTAGGGGTGGGGGCCCGAGGCGCAGAAGGAAGGGAGGTGGTGCCATGGGGTGTGGCTCTAAAGAGAAACTGGGAGAAATTGCTGCCCTTGGCACCTGGGCAGGTCACACGGTCCTGCTCTCAGCTCCCAGACTCCTAGTTATAGGGAAGGCCAGTGAATTGTCATGACTGGTGCTCGGTAGTGGGGTGCCAGGGGCCTCTCAAGGTCTCTACAGGGTCATTTTCTCTTTGCACATCTGCGTGGACAGGTAGCGGGCACTGGTCAGCCCCACAGCTTTTGAAGACGAGGGACAACTCTAGGCACGCCTGACCACACTCTCTGCTAGGACTTAATCCCCAGGGCAGACGGGAGCCTGGTGGCTGGTGAGGGCACTACGCTGTGCCCTCTAGCACCACCTGGCTCCTGGGGGCAGATATGTGTCCATGAGGCAGGGTGGGGCTTTCCTGTGGGCAGGAGAGGAGCCTAGCTGCATAGCTCTGGTGATGCCACCTTCCCCCCACTCTCTGGGGACAGCCACCCACAGCCAGGCCTGAGAGGCCACAAGACCAGGTCCTCCCCACGGGGCTGTGCCTGGGTCACCCACGTGGAGGACCAGAGCTCTGCGAGCTGACTGAGGTTAGTGACGCTGACCCTGCTTCAGGGTAGTGGTCCTCTGCTGGTGCCCCAGATTAGTTGCAGCTTCCCAGGGACAACCTCCTGCTCAGGCATGGGGCCAAAGGGAAGGGTTCAGCCGCAGCCACAGCCATGGGGCACCCGGTGACCTGGGCACTGTGACCTGCAGCCCTGGGGCATCCGGTGACCTGGGCACTGTGACCCGCAGCCCTGGGGCAGCTCCGGCCTGTACTGCAGACAGTGAGCCCATCCAGGGCACTTCTATCCAGGCCTGCTCCATGCGCCCTGTGCCCTAAGGGTCATCCCTGCTGCAGGTCCCTGACCCTATGGGTCAGTTCCACTGTTGTCCTCAGTAGGCAGAGCCTCTAGCTGGCTGGACCCCAGCGTTTGTCCCAGGTGGGTCTGTGTCCTGGTGGGAGAGAGTCCCCTTGTCTGGTTCCTGAGCTGCATCCAGAAACAAACAGGTGCCCCTAGCACATTCCTGGGTCACTTCTGGGAACACTACAGCCCCCACCCTTGCTGGCGGGTAAAGTGTGGACACACTGACTTCAGCCTGGGAACTTGGGCTGCCCTCACGGGCCAGGGCATTTATTCACACAGCAACAGACTCAGCACAGGGCAAGGGACGCCCAGGCCTCAGCATGTCCTGAGACCTGTAGCCTGGCCCAGTCTGGGCAGGGGCAGGTGTCCAGTCCCCAGCCAGGGTCTGACCAAGTGCTGGATGTCACGTGAGGAACCGGGGCCTTGTTCGGGGTGGTCTACGGATCGCTGGTGACAGATGCTGGCAGGGTGACACCATCCTAGGAGGGGAAGGAGGAGCTTTGACAGTGGTGGCTGGAGAGGTTGGGCAGGGAGGGCAAGGATGGGCCCTGCACAGATGGGGGCTCCTCCCTCGGGGGTTGTGTCCCACCACTGCCCACCCTCCAGGGTCACAACTGAGCGCAGAGGCTCCTGCCCACCCATCCCCAGGGTGCTCCTACTGCATTGAAAAGGATGTTGTCAAAGCCGGGGGCTGTGGCCTCTGTGTTGCTCTGGAAGGGGCAGCTCCTCCTCTTCTGCAGCCAGCGCCTCCCCCCAAGTCCCAGCAGCACCAGGAGCATGAGGAACAGGAGGGCACCGCCAACCACAGCTGGCACTGACACGGGTGTGGCTGTGTCCCCTGTGGGCCGTGGGGATGAGTGAGCCTGGGAACTTGAGTCCTCTAAAGCAGCTCCCCCGATGTCTGAGGCTGAGGAGCAAGCCTGGGACTGCCTGATCCCATCAGCCTCTGCTGGCTCCTGGGGTTCATCCTTTTCAGAGACAGCGGGGATCGGTTTTGCCAGCACAAGGATGGGGCCTGGCCTGTAGGTAGCTGCTGTCCAAAGACTTGGCGGGGCTGATGGCCCCAGGCCAAGATCCTTGCGCTCGCCCAGTGAGAGCAGTCAATCAGTGACTGCCCTGACCTGGCTAGCAGCTCCTCCAAGAGAGACCCTGTCCTGGGTGTAGGCACAGAGGAGGCAGCCCAGGGACAGTGCAGTCCAGGCAGTGGCTCCAGGGGTGAGTGGGGATGGGCTGGGTGCAGCGTGCTCGCAGCTCCTAGGGCCACACGAGGGCAAGCCTAGCAAACCCTGTGCCAGGCTGGACCCCGGGCCCTCCCCAGTGCCTCCACTGTAGCCCAGGGCTCACCCAGGCTGGGGGCAGGCTGCTGGCAATGCTGCCCAGCCAGATACTCCACGTCGTCCAGGCCAATGGGCCCCAGGGCTGGCTGGCTGCCCAGAGTGGCTTCAAACACAATCTGACAGAGAAGGAAAGGCGTCTGCGTGGGCCCTGGGGGGAGGGGGGAGGCTCCTGGCCCAGGCAGGCGGCCTCACCTGGAACTCCTTGGCGCTGGCCACCTCCACCTGGGCCTCCAGCCACTGGTGCCGACGGTGCCCGCCTGTGCCCCACACAGCCAGCTGGCCCTGGGCACTGCGTAGCAGCACCCTCAACTCCCCCTTGTCTGAGAACAAGGCCAGGGCGTGTCAGGCCTGGGGTCCTGGGACACCTGCGCACCGCACGGGGGGCAGGCTGGGGAGGCCCCTTCCCAACCTCTGCTCATAGACCCCTGCTGCTCCCACTGCCCAGGCACCCATTGCCCAGCTGGACTCACAGAAGTGCTCCGGAAAGCCCATGTGGTACCAGAATCGGAGGCAGGAAGCTGGGGTGGCCGGTAGAGGCTCGCTTCGCAGCCAGGCGGCCCGGCCCCCGGGGCCCAGCACGCCAGTTTCAAAGAAAGCAAAGTGGCCTGGGAACAAGAGGAGGCTGACGCCCAGCTGATGGGCAGAGCCAGCCCTCAGGGCCCAAGCAGAGGCTGGATGGGCCAGGCCGCCTCTGGATGGGGAGTGTGCCCTATGGGTGGGCAGCAGGAGGCTGGGTGGATGTGTGTGGCTTCTGGGTCCCCTCCTCACCTGGCTCCAGCAGAACATACCTGCCTCTGTGCCCAGGGTGTGGTCCACTGGGGGCTGGAGGTAGCGAGAGGGTGCGGCTCCCCCACCCCAGTCCCAGCTGTATCCACCCAGGCCGGGCCAGGCCCGGTGGCTCCAGCCACACAGGCCAGACTCAAAATCACAGGAACCTGCAAGGCATGGCTGGGTGAGTGGTGCTGCCCTTGGCCTGAGCCCTGGCCACCACCACTATGGGGACAAAAGGGACAGGCAGGCCCCAGAGCAGGGTCAAGGCCAGATCTGGTGCCACTGTGGGCCACAGCAGGGCTCCCACCTGGCTGAGGGCAGGGCCCATCCTGGAGGAGCAGGTCATCCAGAGCCACGTAGGAGTGTGCCACGCCGGTGCCCACTGCCTCAAACACCACCTGGCGGGCGCAGGGCAGGGCAGCCTCAGCAGACAAGGCAGTACTCGGGGAGGGAGAGGGAGAGGGGCACCCCAGCTAGCACTCACCCTCCAGGCTTGCTCAGCCTGCACTTCCACGCTGCCCAGTTGCCAGGCAAGCCCTTCATGAGCACTGAGGCTGAGTACCTGGTGCCTCCTGCCCTCCTCCAGGTGGACCTGCAGGGCACCTGCCAGCAGGGGCAGCCCAGGTCAGCAGTGTGGGGAGAGTGCCTGCATGGGGCTCTCTCTGCTGGGCTCCTCTCTGCAAGAGGCTCTCCAGTGGTCTTAGCAGAAGGCTGGTGGGGATGCCAGGCCAAGCTTCCCTGAACCCCTGGGGCCCCCCTCCCAGAGCCCCTCACCTGGGCTGAGGAGGCTACCGTGGTACCAGAAGGTCAGGCAAGCAGACTGAGCCAGGGGCCTGTGCTCCTTGGAGGTCAGGGAGGCCGTCTGGCCCCAGGGCAGTGCATCTGGGCTCGTGTCAACCACCATGTAGTGCCCTGGAGGTGCCAGCATCAGCCTGTCAGCCCCTGGCCAGCCCCTCGATCCCTACCCCTGCCGGGCCCCCCTGCCCCTGCCAGACCCCCGTACCTTGGGCTGTCTCTGTGGTGTGGTCTGCTGGGGGGCCCCAGGCAGTGTGGCCTGAGGCATTGGCCTGGCGTCTCCAGAGACTCTGTCCTCCGGGGGAGAAACCACAGTCCGAGTCCTCAAAGGAGCAATAATCAGGGGCCCAGCAGGGGCCAGGCCGCACGGCCACGTCATCCAGTGCCATGGTGCCGTGGTATCCGTCCCGGAGGCCCTCAAACAGCAGCTGGGGGTGAAGGGTGTCAGCTGGCTGGGGGCCTGCCCTGTCCTCCCACCTGGGCACCAGGCCTCACCTGGTATGGGGCCTGGGAGCCAGGCTGGTGGGAGAGGGTGGCCCAGGCCTGGTGCCAGCGGTTGCCATGGGTGCCTGACCGTGACCAGAGGTGCGTGTCCTCCCCTTCCCGTCTCATGGCCAGGCGCAGAGTCCCTGCCGGGAGGGGACCAGTCCATAACTGACCTCTCTCCTGAGCCTCATGGGTGTCAGAGGGGGAACTCTGTGATCCCCTGGGGGGCCTCCCCACAGGCCCTGCCCTGCTCCCAGACCCACTCACCAATCTGAGGCCCATAGAGGTAGTACCAGAAGCTGAGACATTCCGTAGACACAGCTGGCACCTGGGGCCTGGAGAGCAGGTGTGCACTGTGGCCCCGGGCCAGGGGGTCTGTGGGGTCCAGAAGCATAAAGTAGCCTGCAGGGGACATGGGGCTGAGCTGTAGAGATGCCCTGCCCCCATCTGAAAGCCACCCCTGTCTGAGTGGCCCATGCTACCTTGTCCTGTGGTGTGGTCGTGCTCAGGGCCATGGCTCTCCACCCTGC